TACACCAGGAGTGAGAAAAAAAAAATGTTACTTACAAAAACAGGTAGACTTCATGGTGAAATATTTATGGAAAATATAGGCCTTGAATTTAAATTTTAAAACTGTGAGGGGCCGGCCTGTGGCTCACTCGGGAGAGTGCGGTGCTGATAACACCAAGGCCCCGGGTTCGGATCCCATATAGGGATGGTTGGTTCGCTCGGTGGGTGAGCGTGGTGCTGACAGCACCAAGTCAAGGGTTAAGATCCCCTTACCGGCCATCTTTTAAAAAAAAACAAAAAAAAACTGTGGAATACAAAACATTTTAGTCTCCTACTCTGCTTTTTGGTTGTAACCTATAAAAAGTGTTTTGAAATGGCTAGATAAATGCAAAGTCATCATTCAGTAATTGTTTGATGGTGGTGATGATGCTATAGATATGAATGAATTTAAGAACTGAGTGACTGATAACATCAGAGAGGCATTGGGAAGACACACACTCTACTTCAAAACGTGGCCAACAGCTACAAACCTGGCTTGTTCCCGTAAGTCATTAGGCATCTCACGCACCCAGCTAAATGAGTACCCATTAGGCCAGTGGTGTGCATGAGAAACACCTGTGTAGCTCTTCAAAACACGTTCTAAGCCTTCTCCTTGAGATTCTGATTCAGCAGGTACACGGCATCCTGGAATGTATGCATATTTTGAAAAACTTCGCCCTACAATCTAGGCAGATTCAAACCACTTCGAATTTCTGTCACTTCTTGCACCTACATTTTAATCTTTTATTTTTTTTATTTTTTTTAAAAGATGACCGGTAAGGGGATCTTAACCCTTGACTTGGTGTTGTCAGCACCACGCTCAGCCAGTGAGCGAACCGGCCATCCCTATGTGGGATCCGAACCCGGGGCCTTGGTGTTATCAGCACCGCACTCTACCGAGTGAGCCACGGGCCGGCCCTACATTTTAATCTTTTAAATGGTATAAAAATCTTACCACCATCAAAATAATAATATTATCTTTTAAATATCATTGTAGTCGACCATGCTTAACAACTTAAAAAAAACCATGCATCCCTTGCTCAAGGCAGAACTACAATTAAAGTATCACTGAAAGATGAGTACTGAACTTATTTTTTCAATATTATATTTGATATCAACTGTATTGTCTCTGCCCCTATATTTGACACAAGAAACAAAAAGGTAAATGGTAAAAAAGCATTTTCTTAAATTGTGAGCCACACAGCTGTATTCTGATTAATTCCTAATGAATCTGTTCATTGCTGTAGTTACAAGAAAACTAAGAAGTGGTTCTAGATATGTCAGACAAATTCTTTTTTTTTTTTTTAGACAAATTATTCTAACAAGCCCAACTCCCAGAGTAGCCCTTTCTTAAAGCTAACATTCTAAACTATATCACATATTTCAAAATTAATTTTGCTTAGGAATGTAAAAATATTAGAAATATAAGTTTCAGAATAATGCTTCATTAGGCAACCCACTGATCCCTCCCATTTATTCCCTGGTAAGTTTCAGTGTTTCTCTGAGCTGAACAACTTGCTGTTCTGCTAATGACAACATTACTCCTGTGGCAAGAAATGTCATCATTCAGTAATTCAGTATAGAAATGTCTTTCTTTTATAGATACTGTATAAAAAGTAGATTCACAGTTCATAATATTATATAGCTCAGAATGCCATTTGCCTTCCTATATGGAATCATTTTTTTCATCTGAGTGACAAGTGGAGGGCACAGTGGTGATCAAGGAGACTGGATGACTGACATTTTCTGTCTCTACAGACAGTCCTAAGCACAGGGATAGCATTGTAATAAAAAGTAGAAATGGTCTACAGTGCTCAGATTTCTTTAATGAAATGACAAGTTCTGAAAATCACTAGGAGAACTTGAGGGAGTCAGCCTGACTCTATGGTTCCAGCTGAAGTAGTAGAAGCACAGCCAGAACAGAATTCCTTTATCTCCTGTGTCATCCTGATGAATATTTTCCAAACTATTGTTGCTTTGGGAAACTTGGTTAGGTACGGCAAAGAAAAAAAATCCAGGGGAAAGAGCTCCAAAAATTCAGAGGAATGACCTAGTAATTTCACTTCTAAGAATTTAAGGAAATAGGGGCTGGCAAGTTAGCTCAGTTGGTTAGAACATGGTGTTGTAACATCAAGGTTAATGGTTCAGATCCCCTTACAGGCCAGCTGTCTCCCCCCTGCCGCAAAAAAGAAAAAAGAATTTAAAGAAATAATTGAGCAATAAACAAAGAATGTGCACAAGCACACACACACACACAGAGTTCTATATAAGAAATAATTCTATAAACATACGTATACCAAAATCTACACAGTGCTTTTCTCTGAGTGGCAGGATTATGAATAATTTTTTAAAAATCTATGCTAATTTGTATTCCCTAATTTTTCTATAATATATGTATAAAACTTGTGTAATAATTAGGAAATGAATTGGGATGTTCTCCAAAAGCTTTAAGTACTACCATGTGTTGGGGAAATAACTGGCAAACATAAAATTTCTGGAGGAAACCACGTAATAGACAATGTAATTTTATACCCCAAACTAACAAACTGACTTCAGCTGTGTAAAAGAGATTTTTTAAAAAGTATTACATGTCTTTCTTTTTTCTTAAAAAGTTACTCTTCCTCTACCCTGCAATCATTTTAACACTTCCACAAGTTTGGCATCTCTAGATGGAGAAAGACAAATGACAAATATTTTGGATACTTTTTTGCCTGCAAAAACCGTATACCTAATGGTATACCTGACGGTTCCTTTAAGGTTTAAGACACTGATAATTCTGTTTTAAAATTCCACCTCCTTTTACAAGTATATGTTTTCACTTACTCCAATGTCCAAAATCCCACATCCAGAAGAGTAAAATTAGGACAGGCATCCCTTTCCCCCCATAACAGATATGAACATGCATATATGTACATATATATGTATGAACATGTATGTGTGTATATTTATTTATTCTTTTAAAAAATATAGTTAACGGGGCCAACCCCGTGGTGCACTCGGGAGAGTGCGGCGCTGGGAGCACAGTGGCGCTCCCACCGCGGGTTCGGATCCTATATAGGGATGGCCGGTGCGCTCACTGGCTGTGCACGGTGCACACAAAGCCAAAGGTTGCGATCCCCTTACCAGTCACAAAAAAGGACAAAAAAAAAAATCTGTTAGGGCCGGCCTGTGGCTCACTCGGGAGAGTGCGGTGCTGATAACACCAAGGCCATGAGTTCGGATCCCATATAGGGATGGCTGGTTGCTCACTGGGTGAGCGTGGTGCTGACAACACCAAGTCAAGGGTTAAGATCCCCTTACCGGTCATCTTTAAAAAATATATATATATATAGTTAACATACATGTGACATACATAGCATAACAGTCTAGATACAGAGGCCATTATCTTGACAATATGATTACTAGGTTCAAAGCCTGGAAAATGCAGCTCACCATGTAAAAGTATCTCACTTTGAGAAATCAATAATCTTCAAAGCTGGTAAAACTTAATATCAATTCTTTTTTTTTTTTTAAATCAAGGCTATAGGTAGGTTGATAAGATAAAGAAATACCTAAATTAATACCAAATGGATTGCTATTAAGCTTACCTTACAGCTTTGAAAAATTCTGATTTCTTGTGTTTCATTGGTGAGCTGCATTTCCTGAGTCTCAGCCGACTTCCCAGCAGGAATTCCAGTCTGATGAAGAATCAGCAAAAGGAAGCCCTCACTGAGAGACACACTGGTATCATTCACTGAGTGGAGATAGTGAAAGAATAACGTATTTCTACAGGCAACTTACAGAGTAAAAATAGATTTAACTTCCCATGGCAGAAGGAACACTTAATATTCCTTAAAACCTGACTGCTTTTTCTATAAAACATATGGTTATACCCTACCTACCTCTTTGGAAGGATAATTCATTTACTATAGTACACGCCTTAAATGCCTTTAAAAAAAAAAAACCAAAAACACCTTTAGGTCTTAATTTTAGCAATAGTGATGACACATTTTCTAGCAGCAATACTAGGATCTTATAGCAGGAAAAAAAATAGTGAAATAAAACTTCATCAGTTTTTTGTATCACGTTCATTAACTAAGATACCACCTCTCAAAGCGGTGACAAACAGATCTGGAAATCTTGCTTAGTCTACATTGATATATTTTCGTTAAAATTTTGAAATGAGCATTTAACGCTTTCAAGAAAAACATGTTTTCTAAAATTTCTTTACCATAGTACATAGTTCACAAGAAACCAATAGTTAGAACAAAGTTCTAGAAACTATGACTTGGAAAGTAACAGAACTTTTATTTAACAACACCTTAAGCTAGCCAGTTAGCTCAATTGGTTAGAGTGCACCGAAGTCCAAGGTTTGATGTCTGTACTGGCCAGTTGCCAAAAATAAAAACACATAAACAAAAAGATAAAGACATCCTAAAATACATACTTTTCACTGATTATTCTGAATTATAAGGTTTATTGTATTTATTGTGCTAAACTGGTGCTGTTAATAACAATACCAGTAGCCACATGCAGCTACTTAAATTTGAATTTTTTTTTTTCCTTTTTGTCTTTTTCCGTGTCCGGCAACGGATCGCAACCCTCAGTGTCGCCTCCGTACCGGACCGGGGACCGGCAACGGCATCGCAACCCTCGGTGTTGCGCCCACACCTCGCTCAGCCAGTGAGCGGGAACCGGTCTGCATGTGGGATCCGAACCCTCGGCGGGAGCGCCGCCGCACTTCCCAAGCGGCGCACTACAGCAGTGCGCCACCGGGCCGGCCCTTAAATTTGAATTTAAGTTAATCAAAATAAAATAAAAAATTCAGCTCCTCAGGTGCACTAGCAATATTATAAGTGTACAATAGCCACGTGTGGCTAGTGGCTACCTTGTTGGACCCCAGATATAGAAAATTTCCATCACCGCAAAAAATTCTATTGGATAGCATTGTTCTAGACAGAGCACCTAAATAGAGAAACAGTTATTATAGTTAAAAGGCCTTACCTGGTCTGAGGAGGTGTGGGTGTGTAAAGGGGCTTGGCTGGCCTAAGTATCGGTTTGGTATCGTTCTCTCTGGAATGGGCTGGAGGGAGTACCTTCGCTGTGAACATGACATGCATCCTGAAGGAAGGATAAAAAGGATGAACTGAAACAATGGATCTAGAAAGTCTTCATGGTATACATACATTTATCTATCTCCAGTAGTTTTGGTGCTTTAGAAAAATACAAATTAATATTTCATTTCTTCTCTCCTTCAATATTTATATGGCTCTTCCTCTGTACCAGAGCCTGTATTGGGCCCTAGGAAAACAGAAATGAGATCATCTTTACCCTTAGAGGCTTTAGTCTGCTACAATATAATAGAGAGAATATATACTTAAAACAGAGGTATGAATAAGGAGCTATGAGAACAGAAGGAATGGGGCCAGCCCGTGGCTCACTCGGGAGAGTGTGGTGCTGATAACACCAAGGCCATGGGTTCAGATCCCATATAGGGATGACCGGTTGGCTCACTGGGTGAGCGTGGTGCTGTCAACACCAAGTCAAGGGTTAAGATCCCCTTACTGGTCTTTTTTAAAAAAAAAAAAAGGAACAGAAGGAATGGGGCCAGCCCGTGGCTCACTCGGGAGAGTGTGGTGCTGATAACACCAAGGCCATGGGTTCAGATCCCATATAGGGATGACCGGTTGGCTCACTGGGTGAGCGTGGTGCTGTCAACACCAAGTCAAGGGTTAAGATCCCCTTACTGGTCTTTTTTAAAAAAAAAAAAAGGAACAGAAGGAATGGGGCCAGCCCGTGGCTCACTCGGGAGAGTGTGGTGCTGATAACACCAAGGCCATGGGTTCAGATCCCATATAGGGATGACCGGTTGGCTCACTGGGTGAGCGTGGTGCTGTCAACACCAAGTCAAGGGTTAAGATCCCCTTACTGGTCATCTTTAAAAAAAAAAAAAAGGAACAGAAGGAATGGAACAAAGAAAAGCAGGAGAGGAATCAGGAAGGATTTCACAGAGGTAGTGTGAAGCTGCAACCTAAAATTCAGAACAAGATAATTAACATTCTTATTGAGAATAGGTTAAGTATGAGAAAATATACACATGCTATCTCATTTAATCTTGGAATGTTAGAGCCAGATAAAATAATGTATGAAAAACAATCAGTTGGCACACAATAAATGTTACTATTAGCATTAATTCAACAAAAATTTATTAAACACTTGATTGGAACATGTGCTGGGAAGGACACAAGAATGAAAAGACTATTTAGCTTTCTTTGGTCTTCAAAGAATGCAGTCCAGCAGAGGTGAGACAAAACACAGCATTACAATACTACATGGTAAGTGCAGCGGTGATTCATACACAAGGTTTTTAAGAGCATAGACTATTATAATGCTGGAGATAAGTGCAATGACAAACAAAGGCATATGGTGCCCTGGGAAAAACAGAGAAGCGTACAAAAGGTGTTTGCATGTGACTGCAGAAGTAGGATGCCTGCTGTGAGTAGAAATTAGTCAACTGAAGGAGAGAAGGAGTGGGAAGGTATCACAAATTATATTAAAGAAGACACTGTGTGTGTACACGTGTGGGTGAATGCAGAGAAGAGGCAGGAGGAGGGAGGGAGGGAGAGAGATCACTCAAGAGACAGCGCCCCAGTGCAACAGAAGAGGGGTGCTCTGGATAACTGTACAATCTCCTGGTGAACATAGTCACTAGAACAGCAGAATACGGTAGGTCTGGATCAAGCTAAAGATTTCTGTAGGGACTATGAAGTATGCGTTAGGTAGAGCTAGAAGTCTTAAACATTAACACTGAATTAAATTTACAGAGATTGTTGAGAAAAATTATAGTTTCTTGGACGATTAAAAAGAAAAGAGAACAGGCTGGCCAGTTAGCTCAGTTGGTTAGAATGTGGCCTTCTAACACCAAGGTCAAAGGCTTGGTTCTCCATTCAGGCCAGCAGATCTCCAGGCAGTATGCAAATAGTTATGAAAAGCAAAAAATGAGAAAATGAAGAAAACATTCAAGAAGTATTCCCTGGGGCCGACCCCGTGGCTCACTCGGGAGAGTGCGGCAGGGGCTGCGGGTTCAGATCCTATATAGGGATGGCCAGTGCGCTCACTGGCTGTGCGTGGTGCTGACAACACTAAGCCGAGGGTTATTTATTTTTTTTAAAAAGATGACTGGTAAGGGGATCTCAACCCTTGGCTTGGTGTTGTCAGCACCACGCTCAGCCAGTGAGCAAACCGGCCATCCCTATATAGGATCCAAACCCGTGGCCTTGGTGTTATCAGCACCACACTCTACCGAGTGAGCCACGGGCCGGCCTTAAGCCGAGGGTTATGATCCACTTACCGGTCAAAAAAAAAAAAAGTATTCCCTGGAATCTATCTTTAGAAAATTTACAGAATACATTTTAGGGAACAAGCCCAGTCTACACACACTGAAAGCTTAATAAAGCTGAGGCAAACAATTTACAGAAATTCAGAAGACAAGAACTTGCTAAATGACACGGTAGGGATGCAATCAACCAATTCCAGACTGTAGGAAACAAACAACTCAGTTTCCCCAACATGTAAATTTCAAGGCATGTCTAGGTGTTAAGAGATGGAAGGGGAACCCACACAATAAGAAAATCCTAAAAGATATTATCCTATTTTTTTTTTTTTTGGTAGCTGGGCAGTACAGGGATCCCAACCCTTGACCATGTGTTATCAGCACCACGCTCTAACCAACTGAGCTAACTGGTCAGCCCTATCAACCACTTATAATATGTAGATCCTGTATGGATCCTGATTCAAGCAACAAATTGTAAAACAAATACTCACCCATACTACTTATTACGTTGATGAGCTAACTGGCAATTTGAACAGCGACTTCATATTTGATCCTATTATGGAAGTAATGGTTTTTCTTAAGGTGTGATAATGATGTTGTGGTTATGTTAAAAAGGATAAACCTTATCTTTTAGAGATATAGACTGACATATTTACAGATTAACTGATATGATCTTGGATTTATCTCAAAATAATATGAGGATGGGGTGGACTGGGGAGAAAATGAATGAGGATTTGGGTGAAACAAGACTGGCCATGGAACTGATAACTGTTAAAGTTGGGTGATAGGTACATGGGAGTTCATTATACCACCCTATTTACTCGTGTATATGTTTGAAATTTCCTGTAATAAAGAGAGGAGGTAAGCACAGAGAAAAATTAAGGAAATAAGTATGTACTCTGTCTTTTTTTTTTTTTAAAAGATGACCGGTAAGGGGATCTTAACCCTTGACTTGGTGTTATCAGCACCGCACTCTCCTGAGTGAGCCACGGGCTGGCCCTAAGTATGTACTCTGAAAGGCAACCTAAGACAGTTAAAAACAGCATGGTAAAAAAGTTCTAGTTTCAGCTTAGTTCTACTAGATGATCTTGGCATGCTACATAATTGCTCTGTATCTGTTTCTTCACTATGAAATAAAGCAGGTATATAAGGTAGTGAATTTCAAACTTTTTTGATCACAGTCCACAGTAAGAATTATATTTTACACTGTACAATGAATATTAAAATTTCACTAAATGGGGCCGGCCCGTGGCTCACTCGGGAGAGTGCGGTGCTGATAACACCAAGGCCACGG